AACTCAGTAATGAAGAAAGGTTACAAAACATGTAATCCACTTTTATTGAACCACTTTCTATCGGAGAAATAGTATGGAAGGTTTTACAAATACAGTAACATCAAGAAGAATGGAAAGATAACTCAGTCTGCAATCTGAACACCAGCCTACCTGGGAGTAAGCTCCCATTGTATTATATATGGCTTACTTATCAGTAGGAGCAGTTAGGATGGTGCTGCAATTGCATGCAGATCAAGGTTACTGTTTACTGAAAACGTATTAGTTACTTCGAGCAGCGAGTGTCTGCATCAAAACAAATACTGCACTTCAAATAAATATCATAAATGGATTAAATGGCAGGGTTAATAATGTTGCTATTTCATAGTGGCCTATTATTATAAGACTGTCGTAGAACAATCTGACTGCTATGGCAGCCTGCAACCATGCTGATGATTAAAAATGTCTTCATTGATAAATAACCATCTTTTATATAGATACAACAGCAAGCTGCCTTTCTAGGTTGCCTGAGTAAGAGGTCTGTGTACCTTAAAAATATGTATATCCTTACCAAACTTTGGCAAATAAATGCCATCACTTCACTGGCTTTCTATATTTTATACATTTAGACAAGCATGGTAATATGGAGAACAATTTTATTAGCCCCATTTGTGCAGAGTGATATATAGCCTTCCCTGGTCTATTTGATGGGCTGATGTGATCCTTCCTGTGTGGACAGCTTCATACCCAAGTCATTCAGAGCAAAATGAGACATTTGCATACCTCCCCTACCAGCTTTGAGCAGGTTAAGCACACAAGAAAGCCCTGCCAGATTAGACTGAAGGCTTATCTAGTCCAACAATCTCTTCACTTAGCAGCATACTTGTGCATGTGGAATGTTGTTGCACAAGAAAAAATGCAAGTATATTACCAAATATTGTTGCACAATAGATTTCACAAGAGCCAGCTGTTGCTCAACATACTTCTGCTAGCACAGCAGTTGTGATGAATGTCATTGTTGCATAACCTTTAAACTCTACCACCCGCTAGTGCCAGGACTCTTGTGCTAGTGGACAAAGATTGCAGGATAAGTCTCATTACTGTGATTTATAAAGAAATACAATATGGTTGAGGGTTTGCCAGATGTCTTGTGTGCTGCTCTGTTGATCAGGCACTGCAAACTTGATGGGCAACTTCAAGACCCCTTCTGCGCTCCCTTTTTATGGCTCATCTTTAAAGCAGAGTTGGACCAGACAGCCATCGCACAGGACTGTACTGTGACAGCATTTCAAAATATAGGTCTGTGCTCTGTAAATGAAGACACATGACTGTCCTAATTGAATAGTTCCTGTAGTAGAATTGGTTTCCACATTAAATATGGCTTAGCGGTCATTGATCTGAGATGGAGGAATCATATTGGAAAGTGTAACTTTAAATAAGGGACTATTATCCCTGATTGTTACATTTTGATGGACTGTTTTCTTGGCTCAGTTAAAACGTCATTGAAGCCTGTCATTTGGGTTTCAGCTGTTTATAAAGACAGCTAACACAGAGAGTTCACTTTTAAAATATACAGGAAATGCTCTTGGTCTAGTAAGTCAATTTTAAGATCAATATCCTTCAATTATTTAGCACCCAGTCCTTGTGGAGCACGCTCTGTTGTGCTGTGTTTAATGGGAGAGGGAAACGGAAAGGTTGTTTGTCTGCCAGAGCACTCCCTGACTGACATGAACACACATTGTTATATGGTTAGATAAGAGTAAGAGGTGATGAGGATTGCACCCATAAATAGGGATGTATTGTTAGAAGGACACTGGAGAGAAATGCTGGACTCCAAGCACGGATTCACATGCAAACAGCGCTACCTCCCATCGTGAAACCTCAAATCAGAGACATAACTCACAGACCCAGCTCCAACCTTGGGTCACCACCACCAGTTTTATCTTTTCCTTCTGTGAATGCTTCAGGTTTAGGAAGCGGAGGGTTCCTCGGACATTCCTGCCTGCTTAGTGTTGCTGGCTAGAGGTTGAGACAGAGGGAAAGGCTTCCTCCCTTTGGGAAAAGGGCTGTGGAAGCCCACTGTATCTTCTGCTTCATAGCTCTGGGGAGCTGCAATCTGTCAGGATAGGATTTCTCTCCCTGGATTTTTTACCCTGTTCACTGCTGAAATGAGATGTGGGAATGCTGTTAAAGAACAGCCAGTCATTGAAGCAGAATGAGAACATAGAGAATATCCACAGGAAGAAGGCTGTGTGACTTGAGATGCATCCAACACTGTAGAGGAGCCATCCTTTGTTCTCTGGGAACAAAATAAGGTTTGTTTGGTACTATATGCACCTGACTTAGAACACTTTCTGTTTGTTTGGAAGGCAATTACAGTATATAAGTAGAACACACGTCTCGCCAGGTACAAATTGTTCTTTCACGCCAGTTGCTGGGAATCACAGTCGGGAAAGTGCTGTTGTATCAGGGTCTGCTTGCAGGCATCTGGGGTAGTAGGATGGTGGAATAGATGGACCACTGCCCCGATCCAGCAGGCTCTTCATATGTTCTTGTAATCCTAACCCTCCTTCTTTGCTGCTCCCTCCTGCCTGTCACTGCCTGAGCTCTTCCTTTTAAAAGAAGGTCTTTGGAACTCCAGTGACATTGAGATTTACTCAGAACAAAATAAAAGAATTGTAGAATATGCATCCCAAGGGTCATCTAGCCCAACTCTCTGCAATGCAGGAATCACAGCCATGAAGAAGAAGAAGAAGAAGAATTACATTTCTATACCATCCTTCATCTGTAGATCTCAGGGCAGTTGGCAAGATAAAAACACAAAATACATAATAAAAACAAGAACAACAACAAGCCAAACCAATAACCCTCCTCCCCCGCATTGAAATAAATTTTCCTTCATTTGTTATGCCCATTACCTTCAATGGGTCTACTCTGAGTAGGACTGGCATTGGAATACAACCAATTATGTTCTCGTTAGAGTTTTTTCCTGAAAGAAAGGGCTCAGGCATCATGCCGTTCATTGAAGTGCTCTTAAACCTTATATGGCAATATGCTTGGGACCATGCCCACTTACGGTACATTTACCATTGTCCATTTGAGTTGTTTCTGAGAAGGGGCTTCTCTGCATGCATATACACATGCGTAACATTATAACCACAGTGTGGTTTTTACATTTTGATAGTGGGTCCAGAATTGTTTCAATCTAGCACAGAGGCTGTTCCAATGTAGGCAGCAGTGGCCCACCAGGTGGGACGTCAGTTTGGTGCTGGTGGTGGGTTTGCATCTTGTCAACTTCCCTGCTATTTTGTCCCTTGTCCTCTTCCTCCCAAGCCAGCCACCCCACCCAGCAGGTTGCTTCTGAAGGTAATTTCCCCATGTTTGACATGACTTTTCTTGTGTGACTTTTTGTGTGCAGACTGAGCCTTTCGCTGCTCTGGATGACCCAGCTCAACCCCGCCATGATGTTTCCTGCTGGCTACCACATCCTGCAGGAGTGGACTCTTGACTGCAAAGAAGAGTCTCTCTTCTGAAATACCTTCCTTTCCCATTTACATTGGGGCAATAACACAAACAACCCTCTGCACTATCATTTTCATCCGAAATAAAGGAGAAAATGTGATTACGAATGGTAAATGCGCTTACCTTTGCCAAGAACAGATCGAGTGCAATGATTAGCTGCTTTCTAATTCATTTCAGTTTGATAGCCCTGCATAATCTATGCTCAGCCTAGGACATTGATTTCCACAGTGCTCCATAATGTGTTTTGCTACTTTTAAAAGAGATTACCAATAATACCCACAGAGATAACAGATAATACAGTGATTTTGATGGGAAGGAGTTGTCTTTGGAAATCATTGTGTTCCTTCACAGCTCAGTTGTGTGACTAAAGTTGGCTTAAGAGACCTGCAACAGTGAATCTGTTTCACCCTCCTCACCCCCCTAATTGATTGATTAATTAATTGTGCGGTATTGTGGTTTACTAGGAGAATGATTGATGGTCTCCAGACAGAGATTACTGACTTCTGTATAGTTATTCAATTTGTCTGCCCTGGGATTTCACTGAGTGGAATACAGTCCAATACCAGCAGAGACTTGCGTGCTCAGATAATCTTTCACTGTTGATGCCAGAAGAAACTATGGAATGATTTAGAGGCATGCAATAATAAAATAAGGATTTACATTGTTTCTACGGGAAGGAAATGTTCTCCATAGACAGCCTTGGAAAAAGAAAGATTGTTAACTACAATGTATCCTTCTATGCAATAGGATTATGATTTATAGCCATCAAAACCCAACAGACGGATACAAAAGGAAATGGCCTTAACTAACAAAATATATATCCTCAAACCACAGCAAACATAGAAATGGAAGAAACAATTCTAAACAATATCTAAAGCCCAAATGTGCTTTCTCTGCAGTAAAATGTGCAATTTGATGCAGAGGTTATTCATTAGTTTTGATGCACATTGTACATTCTATCGTCAGTAAAGACTTATATGGGCTGGAAGAACATATTTGGGTTTAAGATAGTATTTTATATGTACATATTATTAGGTGCTTGGCTGTTATCTGCCATTTTTACACCCTCATTGTATGTTCTGTCTGAATTTGTATATATTTCTTCCTGTATATTAAATGCTAGTCTGTGAGTTAGCATAATTTACAGGCATGTCATCACACACTGAGGAAAACAAAATTTGCAGTTTTCCATGGGAAGGAAATGTTGTCCATAGCCTTGGACATGATATAATGATTTCTAGCTACAGTTTATCCACCTGTATATTCTGCACTAAGTACAGCTTCCGGATCAAGTGGGAGGGAAGCCCCACATGAAGTACAGACTTGAAGTAACAAATGCATGAACTATTGTGGCCAAATGTTCCCAGGCCAGATATGGTTGCAATTTTGGTACAAATTGTCTTTGGTGAAAGGCAAATGTTTGTACCACAACTGATTTAAATTTAATTTGACCTTGAGTCATAAAGAGGGGGAGGAGTGTTACAGTATGTGCTCTTATTGTAAGTTGTGGCAAGACATTGTGCCACAACTTAGTATTTTAAAAACAATGCAGCTGGGTTGGACCCACACACCTTTGCTTTTTGTTTGGAGGTTCTAGCAGGGGAGCGCAGCTATCGTATACCCTTGACCGAAGAACGGTACACTCCTTCTATCTGGGATGGTGGTCCTCTTCCACCGAGCAAGCAGCTTCGGGAGGGACGCACATGGAGCGGTGAGGGAGGAAGGGGACACCCGCCTAGCCAGCCAGATTAGCCGAATCAACCCTGGTGATCAATGGGGTGACAGATGTCGCAGCCAGATCGCCCTCACATCCTCCCACACACCTTTGCTTTTTGCCAAGACAGCCAAACCATACCACTTTCAATAATGCATTAAATAATCTCTGATGTTTTAAAACTTTTACAGGGTGTCAAGTATTGAAGTCAGAACGAGCCTTTTATTTTACATCTTCTGAATGCGGGACAAATTAAGGAATTGAATGCACAGCAAAACACACCCGGAAACAGTGCCTGTTCTTGATAACAACATGATTTGCTGTTTCCACAAATGTACTGGCGCTGCGGGTTAAACCACAGAGCCTAGGGCTTGCCAATCAGAAGGTCAGCGGTTCGAATCCCCACAACGGGGTGAATTCCCGTTGCTTGGTCACTGCTCCTGCCAACCTAGCAGTTTGAAAGCACATCAAAGTGCAAGTAGATAAATAGGTACTGCTCCAGCGGGAAGATAAACGGGGTTTCTGTGCCCTGCTCTGGTTTGCCAAAAGCAGCTTAGTCATGCTGGCCACATGACCCGGAAGCTGTACGCCGGCTCCCTTGGCCAATAAAGCAAGATGAGCGCCGCAACCCCAGAGTCAACCATGACTGGACCTAATGGTCAGGGGTCCCTTTACCTTTACTGTTAAAAACCCCCAATTAACCTCTGCTTAAAAACCTCCAATGAAGAACTTGTCGCATTCCAAGTGGAAAGGTGGTGGACTCTCCTTCCTTGGAGGTTTTTGAGTAGAGGATGGATGGCCATCTGTCATGGATGCTTTCCGTGAGGTTCCTGCATTGCCGGGGGTTGGACTAGATAACCCTTGGGACTCTCCCAACCTTAAAATTCTATGGTTAGATGATTCAATGGAAGTTCTCCCTCAGATGGACCTGCTCACCTCCATTACATTCCAGAAAGAGAAAGCAAGCATGCCCTTAACTTACCTAGTCTCTCAGTACCGATCCTGAAAACTCCTTAAATCAGTCACTGTGTGGGGGTGGAAAATGTGCCATTTGCATCATTTCTAAGTCACGTCAACTAGCTGCACGATGCCAGGAGATTGTTCTTCCTCCCCCTTCCCTCTTTGCCACCCCCAAGGGAAAGAATTCTCAAGTAGAAAGTTTCCTTCCATTTTTCATTGGGAGAAGAAAGCGGAAGAGATACAAATGGAAATGAAAAATAACCCTTGACTTTAATGCCATTCATTGCTCTCTCTCTCTTTATCTCTTGGAATATCTGGAAGTGGGTGATTGCATTTCTGTACTCCATCCCGAGAAGATGCTATTTAGTTCTGCCACTGTTTACTTGCAAAGCGAAAGGAGAACTCCGGTGATTATGGGCCGAAGCCATCTAGCGCAAGACTGAGCTGTGGGCAGTCAGGAAGATAAATATTTCCCTTTTCACTTAGCTTTAAAATGGGAAAGAAAATTAGTTCCAGATGATTTTAAAGAGCAAATTGGAAATATGTCACAGTTGGTTCCCAAGGGCTTCTGGGACCGCTTTATAACAGTGGCTTATTATACTGTGGGCTAGCACAGTGTGGATATTGTTTCATTTTGAATATGTGGGTTCAGGGTGCTTTCTCAGGACAAATTGCAGGATTTTAAAATGAGATCTCATTCTGATGAGGGGGTGTATTAAAGGCTGGCCTAGGGTAAAGGTGTGTGTGGGGGGAATTAATTTGATTCCTGTTTTAACTCGAGCCTTCCAAATTCAGTTACCCGACGAATAGGTACACCAAAACACACTTACCGATTGTTAAAATTCCCACTTCTCTGAATTATGTGATGCAATTCTGCAAACAAAGGGTGTTTTTTTAAAAAAATAAAAAATACATTGGAGAGAATAATATATGCCACTATATTATCTTATGGGGAAATCGCTTGCAAAAATAAGTCTACTGGGCAAAACTGTGTGAAAAAAAATTGTATATTTTAGGAGACAAGTACAGAAAAGTACATACAAATTTTCAGGTGGTTTTTTAAAAGAAAAAAGAAAAATTCACAAAATAACGAGGAAATGGGAGAGCTGAACTTAAGGCTGGAAAATGAGAAACTGAAATTGACAGATTCATTCATCCCCAGCCACAGGTTGCCAGTTTTTCAACCAGCCACTGTAGGTTTGATTTGAAGATACCACAAATATGCTTCACAGAATGGAATGTGACAGACCTACTACATCTGGAATTCTTTCGCTTCCTGTGCCATCCAGGGAAAGAATAATTTATGAGCAAGAGAATAACATTCGGTATACACAGTGAGTTCCTCTGCCACAATAAATGTGTATTTGCATTTAGTTTGCAAGTGTTGTTGCTGTTGTTGTTCAAATGCCAATAGCATCCGCTGTGGTTTATGAGTGTGTGTGATAGTTATTAAGGCTTCAGCAGGCAAGTAGGGGAATTTTAACCCTTCCCTCACCTGCATACACTTGATTCAGTGCTGTCCAATTCAGTATTCAGGTGAGTTTGTGGGGAGCTAAGAGCATGAGGCATCATGTAGAGTTAGAAGAAAGTAGCAAAATAAGGAGTGCTGAGGGGAAGGGTACATAATCAGAGCAAATACCAGTGTGAGCCATGGAGTGGGGCTTGGGGAGAGCCCAGAGCCCAGGATAGGCAGCTATCCCCTACATACCTATTTGCAAGTTTATTTATCTTAAGGTAAAGGTAAAGGGACCTCTGACCATTAGGTCCAGTCTTGACCGACTCTGGGGTTGCTCATCTCGCTTTATTGGCCGAGGGAGCCCGCGTACAGCTTCCGGGTCATGTGGCCAGCGAACCAGAGCAGCACATGGAAACCGTTTACCTTCCCGCTGGAGCAGTACCTATTTATCTACTTGCACTTTGACGTGCTTTCAAACTGCTAGGTTGGCAGGAGCAGGGACCGAGCAACGGGAGCTCACCCTGTTGCGGGGATTTGAACCGCCAACCTTCTGATCGGCAAATCCTAGGCTCTGTGGTTTAACCCACAGCACCACCCACTTCCCCTTATTTATCGTAGTAGCTGACTTTTTACAATGGTATTTGCCTTTCAATGGTTATATTTTTCCTGATGGTTTTACCTGCTGCAAGCTTTCAGGAACACAGCAGGTTAACACTCCAAATAGGTCAATATGCAAACAGAGAGCGAGAGAAAGAGAGAATGTAATCTGAAGCTTCTTCTTGATTATCAGAATTCTAAATAACCCAACTTTTGAGGAGCACACGGAGAACTCAATAATTTATTTGCTGCTTTGCTTCCTCAACAGAGCATTTCTTTTTTTTATAAAAAAGGGAAAAAAACCATTAAGGGCTGTCAATGCATTTCAAAAGCTGTTCCTTTTCATGGACTCCCTTGCCAGAGACACGTCTGCTTCATCTAACTGTCTGTACATGTTGAAGTTTAATTACTTGCTGGAAAGTTCATACACCACATCAGGAATCTAGAGCTTGTGCTCATTATTTAAAAGTCTACCAAAATTTCCTAAACTTCCTGGTTGAACAACAGTGAGAGCATTGCAGGGGGTTGGACTAGACAACCTTCGGGTACCTTCCAGCTCTTCAGTTCTTTTCTTTAATTTTTTTTATTAATTTTATCATATGAATTATAATACATACCACAAAATTTCACCACTTATACAATCTTTTTATGGACTCCCATCAGCACCTCTGATGATCCCCCATTTTAGCCACTTCTTATGCATTTCTTAAATTCATATTGCCTTTAATTATCTTAACTAATCATCCTCCCCTTTATCCATTTTTGCAATAGTTCCAATAATTCACCTCACAAAACTTCTTGCAAACCTGCAAACGTAGTTTGATCATCACTATTACTTTTCAAATATTCTGTAAATTTACACCAGTCTTCTGTGAATTTCTGGTCCCGCAGATTTTGAATCCTTCCTGTTAGTTTGTCTAATTCTGCATAGTCCATTAATTTCATCCTCCATTCTTCTTTCATTGGTAATTCTTCTTGCTTCCAAAACAAACAAACAAACAAACAAACAAACAAACAAAAACAAAAAAATCCAGCTCTTCAGTTCTATGATTCTGTAAACTTAAAAAGAAGTCTTCAATCTAGGATCAATTCACTCTGTTATCTTTTGGACAGATTTCGAATCCAAGCTGATGACTTGACATCACTTTGGTCAACCAGGAGGAACAAATCTACTCTGCCCTCAAAGTTAACTAGCCAGGCTCACATTGTTACCACACAGGTGGGCAAGCAAATACTAAATGTTAGACAACTCACATGAGGAGGAGGGACAGAGACATTTTTCCTGGCTGAAGACACCTGTTGTTGTGGCTAGCATCATCAGCTACCATGCACAATCTACTGCAGCCAACACAACAACCCATTATAGAGCTTGAAGGAACATTGTAAAAGAATTGTGTGGATTTGCCCTTATCTTGACCGGCTGTCTGTAGAGGTTTAATTCATGCATTTCAGCACAAGATGGATTACTGTAATATGCTTCCAGCTGATCCCTTGGAGGTGAATGTTGGTAAAGTATGAGCAAAATGTTGTTGTCAGTGAGTTGACGTTTGCAAAATGCAATGGAGGTGATTGTGTCAGTTTCACACTGACTGCCGGTTGCTGGCTGAAAAGAATATGAAATTAGGGTTGTCACAATCAGGCTAGCAAAAAGAACTGGAAGATAATGATACAAATCCCGAGCAGCCCATGTCTCCCAACCCTTATTGTATGTCTTTCTGTTTGTTGTATAGTCAAACTTTTGTTGTATAGTCAAACTATTGACTCAACAAACACTGTTTGTACTGGGGAAGCGAAGATCAGCATGTTTCCAGTATATTCTTCTTTCACATCTATTTATTCCCAAGTCTCTTCCGTACTGTTGTCATAATCGGTGGGAATGCCCACCACAATGAATAAGTAATGGCCTAAGTAAGGGGGGGGTGTCAGTAGTTTCAGCCACACAGAAAGACCAAGCCAAGGAAGATCAGCACCCTGGAGAGGTACCTAGGTGTGGGTTTTAGAACCATAGTTAGTGAGCCTGCAACAGAGTTGGAACATGCAAGATGTCTCAGCAGTATCTTTGAGACCTGGTTTATCTTTATAGCCT